CGATCTTTAGTATACTTACTTTTTATAAGTTATCCTCAGTTTTAAATTAATACAAATAAATCTTATATTCATGCTCTATCAATGAGACTATAATATTGTAATAATAAAAAAAAATCCGCATTTAGTTAGCTTAGTAAATTTTGTTAAATTTCAGTTGATGGTGCTGCTGTAGTTTTAAATTAAAGTAAATTATCAATTCATTTACCTGGAACTTTTCAGTGATATATGCTTGTAACCTGCCGATTTTACACAAGATGGATGAGATAAATGTTATAGATCAAATTTTTGTTAATTTTTTAATATGTCGTTTTTAAAAAGTTGGTAAGAATTCAATATCATACTTAATCAGTCAGTAATGTGCTTACAAATAAACATTATTATATTAGTGACTAATAGTAATCATATTATTCAGCTAGCATATATTAAGTGATTATTTCATTATTGTTACTTTTATACAGTAAGTACACATTACTAGTTATTTGACCAATATTTGTAACAGAAAAAGTGGATAAAATGAAAGTAAACGTATTCTTCATCAAAAAATAAATATCAGTTCTTTAAAAGTTAAGAAACTAAGAATTTAATATTTTGTATTGGTTTTTATTTTTTGGGAAGAAACAGTTCTTTGAGTTTAGTTGTGTCGAAGAAATGAACTTGTAAACTACTTCTAAGTAACTGAAATTTTTAGTAATCTAACAAGACATAATTACCTCGTCAAACAACGAGAAGTAACAGTAACAGCTAACATTTGCATGATTGTTCTTATAGTATAATTTATATATATAAAAAGTATAAACTAATGGTACACTTGAAAGGGTGACAATAAGTAGGTGTGATTTCTCAGTGTATAGAGATCAGAATTTTTGATGTTTTGGGACTCAACAGAGATTACTTCTTTAGGGAGTGGATAAACAACGAAATTAATTTAACACAAGTTTTAATTGTACAAAGGAATAAGGTAAGATATTAAGTTTAGTCAAAACCAAATTAATTTTTATTATGTCGTCGTCATATCTTTTTGGTGAAGGTGATTTTGTATGAGACATCCCCGGGTATATCTGTGTATGAAGAATATGAAGCTTTTATTATGAGGGAGTGCTTAGGTATGCATAGCGTTTCAATAGAAGTTTTATACTTAATGTCTTAACCACGGAAAACGTTTCAAGAGTATAGACATCCGGAGATAACAAACTAATCATAAAACTTAACTATTCAAACAATTTCTTTTAAAATCGGACCATGATTATTCGAGCTCATGTAAATAATTAGATTTATTCTAACTAAAAAACTGAAGATTCCATCCTTTTGAAAAAACTAAATGGGTTCTCGAACAGCGAAAATACATGAAAGTCTATCAATAGACAACAATTATCATCTTGAAAGATGTTAATTCATCCGAAAACTAGATAATATCCATGTCTGCACTAATCCCAAAGTGTCATACTGATATTGAAATTCGGAACTGAATGTGGCAAAAACAATTTTTGACAGTTTGTATCAGGCCGTTTACAGAAACAATACAAAGTCAACACAGTAATTCTGTTTCAGTGGCATTGATCGTTATAGTAACAAGCTATTGACTGTTCTCGAATTTTTCGAAGGCAGTGTGAAATTTCATCTTAGAAATGCTTAATGATCTTACGACGCTTAAAGTAATGGGTAGCTAATTTGATTCTTAGCTGAAGGGATATAAATTTCAACATTTTAAGTTGTCAGACAATAAAATTATCAAGTTTTCCTTCACTCAGATGCTCTGTATTAAAACGGTATCACACTTACAATTATTCATAGATATCTTTAAAACGAAAAAGTTATTTAACTGTTTACCGCTTGTCATGAATGTACAACAGAGAAGTAATAATTTATGGTAATGTAAATTATTTACTGGTGTTGAACGTCATAACGTCTGTATGTGAAGGCTGGTGATAGTGCCAGGCAACTGTACCCAAGCTGAGTGAAGCATAGCTTGAGCTAGATGAATTTTAAGTCCAGACATATTCACAGAATTTGTTAACCTTCCATTGAAAGAATTCCTTAATCGTAGTTAAAATAATAATATTTTATTAGCTAACTAATCTTAGCATATCTTAATTTGCCTTAGTTTTAAGAATATACAAAACTACTTCAAATACAATTTGTAATATATATATATATATGAGTCACAATAGTAATATAAACAGCCATCTACTTTGCTCACTGAGCTCACTGCGAAATCAATATTCAGTCTCAATACCTAATTGACAAAACAATGACCAAAGTTAACATTTTATTGATCATTTATTACCTTATTATTTGATAAATATTTGACATCCAATAAACAAGTAATTAGACATAAATATCACTCAAAATAATTCATTCTTACAACATTTGTGTTTTTTGACAAACGGCAAAAAGTTTATTGGAATATTTTAAGTAATACAAGATTCAAGGCCGAATTTGATGATTAAAGAAATTTTCAAAGGACGCTATATAGATAGTGACTGCAATTAAAATAACAATAAAAAACGTTTGAACTACAAAACAATCCTAATGAGTTATATATTGATCATCAATAATGTAGGATACCAATGAAATTCCAAGGATGATTAAGTGAAATCCGTATCACATTTTGTTCGATAAAGTTTAATTTTGCAGACATTATTAATGGCTTAGAGCTTAGTAGAATGATTTATATAAGATTGGAAATATTTTAAAATTTTAAGATACAACATCAGGGGTATGTTTCTTGATGTCTATATTTAACAACCATTAAGCCAGCGAATGAAAAAGAATTCAAATTCAGGATGTGATGTGAAAATCAATTAGTTTTTTAAACACTACTTTATTATTTTTTTGTAAATATTTTGTAGTTGAGTGCATTTTTCTTTAGGTAGAAGTAAATTAACAACAGGACTATGGGAAAGATGATTCGAAAAATCATACTCTAGGATGCTTTTTTATCGGAGATATTCAGTCATAATGTGATTGAATAGTTCAAATATTTTTTATTTTTTTCTACTTTTAGTTTGCATTTAAACGTGATTTTTATACATAGATATCAGTCTTTTGTGCAACATCCGAGCTCACTGTATATTCACACTTAGTTCAAATGATGGTTTAATGTAATTTACGATTGTATCACAAAACTCTTTGGACAATCCACCGATTTACCTATGTAAGGTAGAGTTGTTTAGCAACGTTAGGTATAAAGATAGAGTACTCAGGCTTCCAAATAAAAAGTATTCACCTGCAAATGCAGTAATGGGATATTCCATCTACACAAAACAATCTTTTTACCACTTGGTAGTAGACTAATTTTAAAGAAGTAAATAAACTGTAGAACAACGAAAGTAAATGTATTTGAGGCAATGAGAGAATAAAGTCAGCTAAAATATGATGATTGTAAATTGAGACTCTATAATGTTAATCTTTCAGTAATACTACTGTATTAAACGAAGACGGAAGAAAATCGATGACAACAAAGTTAAGATAAGCATTGTTACTATAAATTTACACGGTACGCTTCAGTTTAAATAACTATGCAGTCTGAATAAACTACCGAGGATGGACAGAAGCTTACTTTTCTTCACTCATCCTGATAACTACGTTGAACTGTGCATAAGCAAAGAAACGAAACATTTATCGGATTAACAGTAAACGAAAATATATGAAAGCACAAGTTTTACTGCAAAGTAGATTGTTAAAATATTCTCAGTCCTCTATTTTTTTGGTTTAAATATTTAGTATACCATATTGTATCGATATCTAATGCTGTCGATTCATAAATATCCAAAAATGATGATGTTTTGATAGTCTTACTGAACACAACTGATTAGGGGTCTTCGGTCAAGCATAATCAGGGTCCTCTTCAAAACTTTTTGCTCGCCTAAATAATAAGTTTAGAAGTCTTACACTCCTACAGCTCTACCTAAAATCAAACGTAATTTTCCCTCGCAACATTCAGTTTATTCCTTGCTTTATCTTTGGATGACCAATTTGGAGTACTTTGAAACCAGCAATGCCTGATTCTGTAATGTTTAGTATGTTTTTGAAAGATTTGTTCCAATCACCAACTTAATTGAGAATACGTTTTAAAGCTAAGATAGTAAAGGCATGGATGTCAAAACCAAAATTCTGCCTCGGTCGTTTCAGTAAATTTTACTCTGAAGACTGGAAATAAATTTATATTAATTCTTTGAGTCTGTTGTTTCAGTCTGTTTTAGATAGCAAATTATAGTTCAATAGTTGAGTTAATAAATTTTTTTGAATTTATCTTCACTGGATACGAGACATTTTCTGATCAATGCCAATTATTTATATCCGAAAAAACATCTTACTGATCATGTAAGCACATCAACAAACGGTTTTGAACCTCATCCTGATAACTTGGCTTCATTTTTAGGTTTCTTCTAAGTGTTGTCGGTTGTCTTCATCGTTAAGAATTAAGCGCATACTGTACGCTTACTGATATGACGGCCTAGACTATCTTATATTTTCTCATACAATCTTTTATACATGTCAATCAGGAGAGTACCATCAACCCAACATACCTCTAGACTACGACAGAAATTGCAAAAATATGTATATAACTCAACACAAGAGTGATGGTTAAGATTTCAGGCAGATTTGATTCAGACGACCTCGAATCAAAATGGTTTCAACATTTAATCGTCCAGAAAACTACTATAAGTCATTTAGAAATGAAATCATTATAACTAATATTTCAGCGGTTACAGATGGGATGAATCAACAACTGAAAATTTTACAACTAAACACTTATAAGCATAAAATGCCTAAAACAGCTGAGGTCCTTATAAAGCTGAGATCAATGTTGATTTCACGAAGAAACTAAAACCATAGACTGAGCGTTATAAAAATACGAGAGAATTTTTGAGTACATGAATAGAGATATCTATACATCCCTTTATCTGCGCATGCGGAATATTTACGAATAAAAACTAGGCGACCATCTCAACGTTATAAACATTTCAACTAATGTATGTAAACTATCGATAACCTACCTTCTGTATTGTATTCGGATGGATAAGGTCGCTTTTGCTGAATCTCTAGCATACTTTAACAAAATAGTACACTCTTCAGGTGAGGCGAAGCAGGTTTTAATATATTCCAGTCATTATCAGAACATAAGTGTGCGATGTGAAATACGAGGCGTTTGCAAAGTTCATAATAATGACACAGTAAAACAATCCAGAACCTTCAATATCCAATACCCAATGGTTTCATAAAGAACTAATTGAAACTAATTAATTTCCCTGCGCTCGGTTCTTATTCTTTCAGGAAAATTCAGCCTAAAAATTTTCAGATCCTAATGAATAATGGTAAAAGGATGTCAGATTATTTCCCAAATATCAAGAAATTTTTGTCTAAGTCGTTGTTTTGAGATAACTGGATTTAAGAGCTTAAACATCATATTTCAGTAACAACTTTTTGCTAAACTAGGTCCTTAAAAGGATGATATTTGTCCATGGATTGCAATTTTTATTTTTTTTTTGTTTCTAGATTTCAGACCTTCATATGAAGATCAAGTTCCTACTCAATGTCCTCATCATATTAGTAACATCACTTAACAGTTTGTGGTGAGATAGTATTAGATTGTCTTCCAGGATCTATTTTATGTAGCCTGATGGAAATCTCATAAATTACACAATCCATCAGACTACTTTCGCACAGTTTCAATTTAAATACAAAGAAATGATGTTCTGTGTCTTCTGATAACCTCATCATACACGTTTTTAATGTCCGGTCGCCATGAAACATCACCAAGCCGTGCCCCCAACCCATACTTGACAAGTATCTCCTGGTTTACGAAACACGATCACGTAATCATGAATTCACTGCATTACATTACAACTTCAGAACTACCTTAACATTCAGTCATATAATAGATGCTGGAATAGTTAGGCCACTAAACATACTATGGGCAGCTCATGTACAAGAAGCCCCTAAAGAAGACAGTAAGGACTGACGTTTAATTGATGATCATCGTCGAACTATTATGAAAACCACAATCAATGACTACCCCTTGGCGTACATCCACGATGTGACGGATAAAGTATGGCTGTATTCCAGTGACTGCAAATGATAGTTTTCAAAAGGCTGTCATAACTCCTTCTGGATTCTGAGAGCTTGACATTTAATATTATCTTAAGAATTTGAAAATAGCTTTTAGTGACTTCAAAAATATAATATTACAATAAGAATTCGAATCAGCGCCGATAACTTCGATTTACATGGGAATACTACCGATGCTCAGAATCTTTCGATGAGACATAATCGTCGGTTTCAGGAAAATTTCCTATAGAGAGGAGATGATAAATTAGTGCAAGTACACTCGCGATCCTCATCAGATAAGTTATTCAATAAATGAATTATAGACGCTTTTCTAAATATTCAGAGTTAAGCATTCTCAAAGACGCAGGTAACAAAAATTTTATACAACTTTTTACACATGGTTAATAATAAAATAATAAGAAATGACACTTTAATTGTTTCGTACATCGAAATGAAAAACAACACTTTTTAGGCTGGTGTGTGTTTATTCATGGTGATAAATTCAATATCAGTCTATTGGATATAAACAGGATCGAGTGAAAACTGTTCCAGTAACGCTGATTCCGCTATTTCAATACATTCAGTATGGGTTTTCGAAGTGCTATCAAACAAGACAATCATTTTCAGTACCACTTAATCGAATCTCATAGTAAGCTGGATTTTAGAAGAATTCTGAGAAATATCCTGAAGAGAGAACGAATACAACATAAGGCCATCAAAATCTGAGATGCCAGGTTTAAGAATTTACATGAGTATTTACAGAGCATTCATTCGCGTGCCACCTACTGTGAAAAGTGGTTTTCTTATTCGATTACTATTCCACTGTATCTCCTCCCTTCTTGTCAATGTGATATGACTACTTTTCGATCAAATAATAAACCGATTGTGACTGATCAAATACAGTAGACTAGTGGAGCGTGCTTAAGATGGTAACATTATACACGGGGTGGTATCTCTTCAGATCATGACTAACTTCAGGTTTTCGGCTAATTGTTGATATTTTCATGCTGGCCTATGAATATGAATACACTGAGCTAGCAGTAAGTCCTCTGGTATAAGACGAATTATTTGAATCATCGGCATCGTGGAAGAAGGAGTTCAAGACGCAGATAAGTCACACATTGGGTGTAAAGCAATCCAATTAGGAAGAAAAGTAAGTATTTGGCGTAACTGGGTTTAGATTGAGCACTGTCGCATGAGCCGAAGTTGTGAAGCCGCTAACATTTGGTTTGAACAAGGAAAAAGGTCTAACGAAATCAAAGTTCATCCATCCATACAAAGCTACTGAGTTCTTATAAACAGCGTACAAGACCTCTTCAATCCACTTGCATTCACACAAAGGTACATCAGTTCTGATGCAAAATCAAATCATGTCAGTAAATACATAATATCTCAACAGTGCAACCTCTACTACATACTCAAATGTTCCTCCAGTGTAACTTACCGTAACAATCAAAAAATTGCATCCGAATACAATAAAAAGGTGCTTTGAAATTGAAAAGAGTTTGATCAGCATTATGGAGTAAAAGTTCTATCTGAAAGGGTTCTGCAGAATAACATCTGTTTCCAAAGAAGTCGAAGAAAAATACTGATCAACTTCCGTATGTTATAACCCTACGTTTGTTCAACTGAAACCTTACTATGGATGATCCATCATTAGGCGACAGCAAAATTAGGTAAACAAAAGTTTCAGTTTAAGTTAAATTAAGCAGGTTTAGTCGACAAAGGCTGTTATATATTACTATGTGGTTGCAAGAGTTCTCGATGAAAACTGACGGACAACGCAGGCAGAAAAACTGTGGCAGCAACAATACTATGAAATTAAGTGCTTTGGGTGGCTTCTCTGAACATCCATTTCGTCAAGATCATCAGACACATTATTTGCTGAATCCATTACACAGATATATGAAACTGTGTTTCATGCACCACCTGATGGGGTAAAATATGCACGTTTCGGACCCAGGTAGATGCCGAGGTGAGTTGAAAAAACCTGAAACAACAGAACAGTCTAATCGGACAATTAACTGATGATTACTTTATAGAAGAATTCACTTCAGTGAACTATGCTTTCGGAGACAGTATAAAGAATATACGCGCCTTGCCCAGTCCGAATTCGAAATATAAATTCTGGGTAAGAACGGTTCTATTATTAATCAAAAAAGGAATACAGGCAATTACCTAAACAGTATTATACTGTCCCGATCCGAAAATTAACTCAATAAGTTTCCAATTCTGTAAGAATACGTCTTTCTTGTCAAGAATATAAAGTTACCTCGAAGGTATCAAACCCGATATGGCCGTAGCCATATTAAGAATCAACTAAAACAACAAATTTATAGTTTAGAAGGAAACATATAAACTCAAGTACAAAAAATAGGAAATATAACAAAATACAAATATAAATATCTCGAATTGGGACTAACAGAGTACCAAAATACTGAACAGAAAGAGTTAGCAAGATCATAACACAAATATATACATGGAGGGATTTTGCCAAAAACGAAGCCTTCAGGATGGATTCTACATACATTTCTGTCCGTCATATAGCATGAATACAAAAGTATGTTAAAACCTGAATTCTGTATTCACAAAAATCTGAAACTAGCTTTCAGTTATCATACCCATCCTTTTGGTGCCCTGTATGGTACTTTCAACAGTGGAAAATGAGAAGGAAGCATTATAATATTTGTTACTTTCATCCCTAACCGAGGACAACTGGTCAAGATGTCTATGAGAAGTTGGTAAGTGCGGACGCAGAACTTAAGAAGAAGAATTAAAACTGCTAGGTGAACATGAAAGACAGAGATTGCATACCTATAGGTCCATTTAGGGTTGGTTTACAGTTTTTTATTCACTTTGGTTAGCTTTTTATCTTACTTTGTCTGACCTCTGGGAGTTCCGATCACTAATGTTATGTGGCTGACAGTAAACTGGCGAACTTCATTGAAGAAATTTCGATTCTATTGTATTATATGTTTCTAAAGTCTAAGACTCAAAACCAGTGTTGTTGAGTTTTATTTGTGTTCTATCCTCATTACTTCTTTATTAAAAACAAGGGTTTCAGTATTTGTCTTGTAATATTTTATTTATTCTGTGTTTTACCTCCGGAATGTCGTTCATAAAGTTACGATGAGTCTGTAGTGATCTACTTTTAAGAAGATAACACAATTGCTGAAGTGGAAACATTTACTACTGTACTTGATTCTAACAGTAATTGTTAAACTGTACTCCTTTTGTTTAACTATACTAAAAGACTATCACTCGCGCGCTAAACACGTCATTTCCCTTCTGTTTCTCTCCTTGGTGGTTGTTAGCTGCTCATCTATTCTGGTCTCGATATTATTTCGATATCACAAGGCCAGCGATAAATATAATTCTTCTTCCAGAACAGTCTTTTCTTTGACTACTGAACTTATCGGGATTTAACTTAGTAATCCCGCGGTGTTTATTTATTTTAACTCAGTATAAGTCAATGCATTCTCAGATTCCATTAACGTTTTTCAGCCTTTTAAGGATATTGACTGAAATATTAATGCTGCCAAAAAATAATCTATTCTATCTACTTTTCGGTTAACACTTGGTTTTGAGTTCATACACACTTTCTATAACCACAAAACTTTCCAATTTGTGCTTAAAGGCCGCACCCTGATAAGGCGAGACTGCTAACATGGTGTTCAGTGTTTAGTGAAACGTGGACATTATTTTCATAATAATTATGTTCTAGACTACATAGAACAATTTATTCGTAACCTCTTTAAAAATTTGTTAAAAACTAAGGTCATATGACTTACCTCAGGTCGATAAGGTGATGTTGAAAAGCTCATTAAGCAGTAACATTACGGTACGTCTTACCACACTGCAAGGTCTTCATCAGTTGATACGTCCTAATAGTTATTCACTTAGTGTCAGTTTTTCTTTAAATGCCTTCATCTCGAAGTAACTTGTGTATTTTGTGGCGATACAGCTGATTCTATTCTAGGACCCTTATCAAGCCACATTTGTTTAAGATAGTACCTTGTGCTTAAATCAGGTTATTCAACTGAATCATTTCTTCAAATTATATGTATATCAGAGAAACCACGTTCACTGATCCCCTCATCATATGCTTTAAACTT